AAAACAGAGCTGATTTTGACAGGGTAAAAAAGGGTGTTTTCTACACTACCCTTGAGAAATTTTAACCAAAGTATGTTATAGACTTTTCATTAAGATCCTAAAGAATCCTATGACCCCTTTAAAGGGCATATAAATTTGTGTGTCATCAGCATAAAAATGGAAAGCAATTCCATATTTACGAAAAATCGACCCTAAAGGTAAAACATATAACGAGAATAAAATAGGGACAAGAATAGACCCTTGAGGAACCCCGCATGTCAGTGGTACAGAGGATGAAAAAGTCTGACCAATGTTGACAAAAAAACTCCTATTCGATAAGAATGATCCAAACCAATCGAGAGCAGAACCCTGAATGCCAACCACCTCCTCAATACGGGAGATAAGAATCCCATGGTCTATTGTGTCGAATGCTGCACAAGGTCTAAAAGCATAAGAACCACAGAGTGTCCTGAGTCCCTTGATAATAATATATAATTTAGTACTCTTAACAGTGCAGACTCGGTACTATGGTAGGCCTTAAAACCTGATTGAAAAACCTCATAAATAGCATTCTGATCCAAAAAGCTCTGCAATTGAGTTAGAACAATCTTCTCTAAGATCTTAGACAAAAAAGGAAGTTCTGAAATAAGTCTAAAATTGGTTTGGACTCTGCTATTCTCTTAAATTCAAAATGATTTTTGAACTATATAGTTCTCGTTTTTGTACTTGGTTTGAACAGGCCTTGTGAGTGATAGTGACACATTCTGAAAGTTTGCTGTCATTATTTATGTTTTTCTATGACATTTTCATCAGACTATCATATGACTGCTGAACTCAAGTCCTTATTGATTATTCTCTTAAATGTTTTCTTCAGACCATCATATGAACGTTGACCACAGGTCATCATTGATTTATTCTCTCACATGATGCTGTCTTCAGACGACTTAGGGTCAACATTCATATGATGGTCTGATGATAACATCATGTAGAAGAGTAAATCAACTATGACCCTAAGCTCCACCAACACCAATAACGCAGGAAAGTTTATGCTTTGTTAGCCAAGGCTAGATATTTTGCTAATTGAAAGTTTGATTAGTATTGGCTTTTCATTAAGATCCTAAAGAATAATATCAACTTGTTGAAAATGAGCATCCGATGACCCCTTTAAACCTTTGTATTACTTTCACAGTATTTCACAGTAGGACTTCTCTTGTATCTGTCTGCACTCTTTGTCACACTTCTGACTTGGCTAGATCAGAAATTTGAATATGAACATACAAGGCCCAAGCTCCAACACTAATCGCCATTATGGTGACTTCAGAATAATTACAGTAGTAAACGATTACATTTCTTACAGTTTCATAGTTAAAGACAACTTTATAATGTGAATTCACATTGAACCAAGAGCAGTGAATGACTGTGATGTTAGCATCATTCTGTTGTTGACAGTCATTTGTAAGAAAATTAACCAGCATGCATTTATTTTAGTCAATGGATGAGTGCCATTATTAATTGTAAACTAATACTCTGTACTAATGTGTCACATTGCTTTGGGTTTTGGTTCACATTTTTTCTTATGTCTTTTACTTATGTCTTATGTCTTTTTTTAATTTGGTTCATGTTTCCTGTCATGTATTTCCTTGTACCTCATGTTGGCCTGCCATGTGCTCCCCCGTGTATGTGTCATGGTCTGATTGGTTCATTGTTTGATTGTTCACTGGTGTTCCTTGTTAGTCATTAGTCTCTCTCTCTCTCTAGCACTTATGTTTCTAGCACTCATGTTTCCATTGGTCTAGTACTGGTGGTTACCCACTGTTTGATGAGTCCATGTCTAGGTCAAGTTCATGTCAATGCTCATGTTTATGCTTAAGTCTATGTTTATGGATATTTTCGAGTCAGGTCATGTTTTAAGTTTAGTTTTCCACTTCTACATTTTTATTTGATTTCATGTCAATAAACTGCACTGGGGTTCATCAATCTCGCCTCCAGTGGACTGTGTTACATAATGACAGTTGTCATTCAGATTGATGTAGGCCTATGTGATGTACTGTAGTTGTTCCGGTGAATTGTTTCCCCTCCGGCGCGTATGTGTAAAATCATGACGTCAAGCGTCAGTTTATTATATTATTTCCTACTTTCCATCAACATAAGGTATGTTTCACGTTGTTTGTCAAATACATAAGTAGAATGCTAAATGCTGAAGCATAGAATGTATTGTTTCCAGAGGTTTTATAGCTCAGTCGTTCACGGGTTACTGCTAACTTTACCTTTGAGAAACTCTGTATAACAGCTAATGCGTCAAGTTTAATAAACGAATTTCGACGGTCGTTTACATTCTCATATTGTTGTTATATTGTTGTTGTTGGTGTGTGTCGGTTTTGTCACACAACCTTATGTTTTCCATAAATAAACCATATTGCACTGTACAGTGTTGTTATTATTATAAAGCTACTCACCTCTAGAAGAACTTTCATCTACAGAGGTGATGCTGGTGATGTATTGAAGTGTCATCATTATGTGTAACAACTTTCACCTGCAGAACAGTCCCATACACCGAAAACACTGGGGGAACAACGGCTCTGCGATTGCACTGTGCTGATGCTGTTTAACTGCTGTTCTTCAAAAACACACCAGATGGCGACATTTGCATTAAATCAGTATCATACAACTGATGATCAATGTAGGAAGATGTTAATATATAACAAAAATGCAATTTTTGACATATAATTAAGACTAGCTGATCAATGTCACATGAACAGAAGAGGATGACTCTAAAGACAATTAAGAATCATGTGTCTTTCCATGAGCAGAATTTTTTTTTTCACCTTTAACTTTGCATCAGCCTTATACACAGTTTTATTTCTGAAACAAGCAAAATAACTTGAAAGATATATGCATGTGATAACTACCATTAAAACAACTAATTCCATCATAATAAATAACTGGATTCTTTGAATGGTGAGTTCCTAGTTAGGACACTAGATGGCGCAGTAATATACAATATGCATACTGTTTGCAGTGTACACTATTAATGAAAAATCATGCAATTTATAAAAAGGTCACACTGTGTGGAAACCTAATCGTTTCTTTCAAATCAGTGAATCGGAGTGCATATCAAACTGCCAAAGTCATGTAATTTCCATAAACGAGGCTTTCAAAACGTTTCGAAATTTGAACGGTTCACCGCTGGGAGTCATTGATCTCTGTGAAGCTGTTTTATACATTTTTGTCCTCAGTTTTTGTTGCATTTCTGCTGTTTTGACTAGCAAATGATGTATTATTTTCATTTCTGAGGGTGTTTATATCAGTTTTCTATAGAAATTGAAAGCAACGCTCACTATGAACTGGCAGAATCTTTGGGATTGTTCAAAGATGGAAGCATTAAACACAAATAAGTTTGTTGCAGGATAGCTAATATAATTTACGCATAAAGAGATACGCTCAGTATATACGCAGCTTGAGGTTGTCCATTGTGAACACAAAATAATGCTGTATTCGGAACCGCACACTAGCATACAGCTGTTACTATTTCTGCCTTAGAAAGGTCTGTTAAAATAATAAGAGTAGCATGATATCATGTAGCTTAACTTTAACTTTATGCTCATCACTTTCTTTGATTAAAACTTAATGTTTATGTGTACATGATATAACTGTTAGCCATCGTGTTCACGTGATGTCATAAACTCGGCAGCGACGGCATCAAATTTGACTTCCACATGAGTTGTAGGCCTACATCTGACGTTAAGTGGTGTTATGTCACTTTTTTCTCAGTAAAGGTTGGAAATAGTGACTTCCTGATTTGAATTGAAAGAAGAAAGCCTATCTGTGTGTACACTTTCCTGCACAGTTTCAGTCCTATGCTCGCAGGCATCAATGACTGTTTCTTCAGAGCTTTCTGTTGTTGAGGAGACATGTGCTGTTATGATGCTATTTTATGCTTTCACTTTCTGGATGATGAATCAGATGAAAAGTCCCTCGGAAGCACAAGACCCAAGCCATATAAACATTTTACAAACCAGAATGTCACAGAGATGTGGGCTTTTGACCAGTAACAGCAACCAACTATGTTCTAAAAAGGTACTAATATCAACCAGTACACCATACTAACCACATTTTTACAAACTATAGGCCTATTTATTTATCAAATTAAGTTTTTTTCCCCCCAATAAAATGAAAAAGCAAATGGTTTACAGTTTATGTTTGGATAGCAGCACTGTTAATGCTACTGGAAAAAAAAAAATTGAAACATAGCTACTTTTAGTTAGTTTCACCTCAAAACTGATTAAAACTACAGTAATTATTAACCATCAATAATAAACTGTAAATCATACATTACATTTATTCTTAAAATGACTCCCAGACATTGACAGAAAAACAGGATATGACCTTTATTTAAAAAAAAATTAAAAAAAAAGCTATCAAGAATAGTTCTTAGTAGGTACTACTGTAGAGCTGGAAATAACTTGTGAAAATAGCAATGCTTAACTGCAGGATCACTGCATAAGTAGCCTATATATAGAAGATCATGATGTATATGCACACAAAATATATATTTTTATATTCCACAGTAAATTCTCTGTACAATTTAAGACCTTTTTGTCAAAAAGCGGCATTGATAACTTTAGTAGAGTAAAGCAGGTTTTGTGTAGAGCAGAAATGAAATGATTTAATGTGAGCAGGAATGGAAAAAGCACTTCAACCGCATGCTATTGATAAAGACACACTTTCCACACCTCAGAGACACACTCACAAACAGACATCGACCACAAGACACATTAGACACATCCTCATGAACAAGCTGTCTGTGACTGTCACAGATCAAAACACATTTGTACGGAGATGTTAATAAATGTGACCATAGCAAAGTCTTCACTCCTTTTGATGAGTATTTTGCATCTGCATTTATGCTATTTTTGTGAGTTTTCACACATTTAAGGGTAAAACATAAAATTGCTCCACTTGATTTAGAATTGTATTACAAGGCAAGTGCTTTTGAAGTTTGTATGAGACAATTTCACATTTTACCCCTCAGGATGACTGATTCTCATCAAAAACTCAACCACAGAGTCAGACTCGAAGGTTGTTGCAGGCCACACAGCTAAACGACTGAAGTTTGATCGTCTTCTCTTTGTGATTGGTGCATAAACCACATGATCCTCCTCTTCAGCTTTCTGTACAAAAAAAAAATGCATAACACAAGAAAAAAATTATAATACATGTGGCAGGTTCATCCTGAAGAATGAAATGTGATATATACTTCTTTTTTTTTCTTGTATGAAATGATGCTGAAATTATACAGAGACACTCAAAACAATAATTAATTGTCTTACTGATTTATGTGTGTTTCTTTTGTTGAATGTTGGCTCAGCATAACTGATCTCATCTTCGTGAGTCTGAACTGTTTCAACAACAACAACACCAACAACAGATGCATTAAAATGGCATTAACAAATTTAATTTGACATTAGGCCTACAACGTTCTTAACAGAGTATGTGGTGTTTGTCATTAAATTTAAATAAATATTATTTAAACATAATTCTTTACATATCAATCAAACTCAGGCAGGATGTTTAATAAATGTCATTTGCATGCTTTGTATGCTGAAATTAAAGCTTAACCCTTTTCTTAACAGTTTTTTATTTTTATTTTTTGCAATGATGGTACTATATTTTAATTTGACAATGTTTTTTATTAATTTTTTTACTTTTAGGGGATTTTATGGTACTAAATTATATGTGTGCAGTAGTTATAATTGATTTATTTACTTTTTAATCATTCACAACTGTCATAAACTGTCATAAATCTCGAATGCTTTGGAACACAGACTTAGGTCTGGTTTCTTTTTAAAGATGACATTATTGTCATAAAAATTTGAAAAATACAATTTTCAAATTTTATATGAAATACATATTTCCCAAAAACCATTTTACTTTAAAACTGTGAGAAAAGCAAAGACATAAATCTAAACAAGCTGTGTTCCAAATTTGAGGCTGATATAAAAAATAAAAAAATATCAGTTTGTGCGAGTGAGGCTAGTTAAGTGACACATTCATTGTCATTGCATGTACAAACAGACTTGTATTATGATATGAGTGAAATCTACAGAAATTGCCAAAACTACACATTATTTTGGTTCTTGTCATAAATAGAAACTAGAGAGTGTTAACTACAAAACTACTTGTTAATGTCAGTCTGTAACACTTGCCTTGTTGTTCAGATTTTCTGTGTTTCCTGTAGATGCAGAAGATCCCAAATCCAGCCATAATCAAAAGAGATCCAGCAGCAGCAGCAGAGAACAACTTTATCAGAGAGACTGAGTCTGGAATGGTAATCATTAATGTAAGTGAATGTGTCAGTTTGATCTACAACAGAAGACAGAGATTAGGTCAGTAAATAAACACATATTGACACCGTCGTACCTGCACATGTGTGACAGAGTTGAGTGATGTCCAGATGTTGAGTCTGGTTGCTGATGGGATTGTTGAGCACACAGCTGTAGCTGTTTTTATCCTGATATTCCACCTCCAGAGGTAGAGAGAGACTGATGCTGAGATCAGACACACTGATGCTGGACAATAAACTGTTTCCTTTGTACCAGGAGAGAGTCACATGACCCACATTCACCACTGAACACACCAATGAACAATTCTGCTGTGGTGATGATGATGATGATGATGAAGATGATGAACATTGTGAAGAGTTACTGCTGATGACAGGAACAGGCAGACGAGCTGAAAACATAAGAGTATAAGAGGAATACAGATCAATCTAAAAATGCTTGGGTTAATGCTGTACAAAAAAAGATTAGTGTGAAATTACAGTATGGGACCACATCTTTTACTATGGTGTCTTGGGCTACCTTGCCAAATGGCTTAACACTAGAAACCAGAGGTGGGACCAAGTCATTGTTTTGCAAGTCACAAGTAAGTCTTGGGTCTTTGCATTCAAGTCTTGAGTCAAGACAGACAAGTCCAAGTCGAGTTGCAAGTAGTGCAAGTATATTATTTTATGTTCTTACATAGGGTAGTCCTTCAACAAATATTGATAACAACAAATTATTCAAATTTCAAGAAATGAGGCACGGAAATTTATTCAATGTATGTCAATGTATTTTGTGGCTCAAACTATTCATAATGACCACAGCTGATGGCTTGGTTTAGGGACTATGTGCACTACCATGTAGTAGCCTGTCAGATTTACAACACGTGAATTCAGCCATTTCTTCTGAAAGACATGAAAGTGAGTGGCTGGTAAATAGGGAGAAAAATAGAGTGAACTTTATAGGTAGGCTACATACAATGTGCGTTTGTCGTGAAAAAAAAAAAATCAAATTATGTTTGAAAGTTTATTACTGCCGTTTCCATATACATCGGTGTATAATATTATTATTACTATTATAAATGGTTTATAGTGATGATGTGTATTTTAAATGTCTGAAACATTAAATAGCCTAAAACATTATGTGGTTGAAAACACTGACAAGCATTACTTGGCCCCTCTCTGGCTCAGTGCCAAAAGCCGTGCTAATCATGGCTACCAGTGTGATCATACGCTTCCAAAAGGGTCTGGCTGCAGGCTTGTACTTGCACTCTCAGCTTTGCACTCTCAGACACTTGCACTTCCGCTAGCGACGTCACTTGCAGTCTTGCAAAGTCTTTTTGTTTGAATCTCTCAACATTTTACAACAGTAGCCAGGTGGTGAAGACAAGACAAAAGAACAAATGCTTATATCCCTTTAACAGTTTTCATATCCGTGCTAGACATTGCTGCTGCAAAAACACAATGTGCAGTAAACACTGTTACTTATATGCTTCAGTGATTCACTTGTGCAACTGATGACATGATGCTAGTTTAAACCTTTGTATTATTTTCACAGTAGGACTTCTTTTGTATCTGTCTGCACTCTTTGTCACACTTCTGACTTGGCTAGATCAGAAATTTGAATATGAACATACAAGGCCCAAGCTCCAACACTAATCGCCATTATGGTGACTTCAGAATAATTACAGTAGTAAACGATTACATTTCTTACAGTTTCATAGTTAAAGACAACTTTATAATGTGAATTCACATTGAACCAAGAGCAGTGAATGACTGTGATGTTAGCATCATTCTGTTGTTGACAGTCATTTGTAAGAAAATTAACCAGCATGCATTTATTTTAGTCAATGGATGAGTGCCATTATTAATTGTAAACTAATACTCTGTACTAATGTGTCACATTGCTTTGGGTTTTGGTTCACATTTTTTCTTATGTCTTTTACTTATGTCTTATGTCTTTTTTTAATTTGGTTCATGTTTCCTGTCATGTATTTCCTTGTACCTCATGTTGGCCTGCCATGTGCTCCCCCGTGTATGTGTCATGGTCTGATTGGTTCATTGTTTGATTGTTCACTGGTGTTCCTTGTTAGTCATTAGTCTCTCTCTCTCTCTAGCACTTATGTTTCTGTTGTCTCGTCTAAGTATTGTTGAAGTAACCTACTGTTTGATGAGTCCATGTCTAGATCAAGTTCATGCCAGTGCTCATGTTTATGCTTAAGTCTATGTTTATGGATATTTTCGAGTCAGGTCATGTTTTAAGTTTAGTTTTCCACTTCTACATTTTTATTTGTTTTCATGTCAATAAACTGCGCTTGGGTTCATCAAGCTTGCCTATGTGGAGTATGTTACACAATGACAGTTGTGAGTGTGTTTGACATCTGTACCAAAATCTTAAATCACTTTAAAATGTAAATTGTTCCAATAAAATAAAACAAGAATATGTTGAAAGATATAACAAATGTTTTCTACTCACCATACACAGAAACATTGAATGATTTTGATGTCAGTTTGACTTCAGTTATCTCTAGTTGATAAACTCCAGCATGTTCAGGTGTGATGTTTGTGATGATCAGAGATCCAGTTTGATTGTCCAGCTTCAGTCTGTCTTTGAATTGCCCATTAGTACCGTTATATGTGAAGAACAACTGATACTTTCTATTGATTTCAGCTATAGTGTACTTTTCAGCTCCGTATTTCCACAGGATATTTTTGTCTTTCTGTATTTCAGTAAAATCAATGTATAAAGTGACAGAATCTCCCTCCATCACTGGCACTGACTGCATTTCATTTGTTTCAGCACCAAACACACCTGATAAACAGATTTAACACAGATTAATACATACGATGGTTCCCAGAGCCTGAAATCAGCTGTAGATTTGATTGTTTACATGTGAAGTTGAGAACATCCAGAACGGCAACACAAACACAAACTTTAAATGAAGGTTGAGATATATAAACAGACAAATATTTAGGGTTGGTTGCATAACTTAATTTTAAAGACAGATTAACAAATCAGAGGTTATAATTCTAACCTTTGATTATGTGATTAAAACTTTCATCTACAGTTCATTTTGGCCGCCATGGATTTGCAATTGTACTTAAACATCAATAATGTTAATATTAAATTTCCCTTTTGACTGAAATAAATGTTTAAAATGTCAATTGTCTTTATAAACCGCTACAGATACAGAGAGACTATTAGAATCAAGCAGAGAAAACATTGCAGCAGCGCATTTGGATTGCATGTAAATATTTCTTATGTGTAAAGAATAAAATGCATCCTTAATCTTTAATTTGTTTTAAAGTCATCTGCTGTAGAGGAAAATCAGTTTATAATGACATAATTTATTGACAACAAATACTTTTATTTGTTTGATTCAAAGTACAAATCTTATTGTGTTGGATATTTTCAAAATCTTTTTTTTTTTTAATGAGACATTTCAACTGAAGACTAAATCAGACAGATTCGGTGTTCATGCTCATTTTGACTAATTATTTTTTTTCATAACTTTTGTAGACTTTTGTAGATGGCTTAATATTTGAAAGCAATTTAATGGAAGGTTTTGACTTTCTGAGCCTCAATGCAGAGCAAAAACAGAGATGTTTAAATGTCAATTAATTTCATGACATTTCCAGACCTGGAAATTTCAATTAAAAATTCTGCACAGAGAATTTATAGTTAGTGGATTTCACAATATTCACAGTTCATCAGAAAATAAGGTACAAAAGGGAGCGGTACCCTTTCAAAAGGTTCACCTGGGTACCTTCTTTACCCCTAAAATTGCATATTAGTACATTAAGGTATATATTAGTTTCTAAAGTCTACATATTTGTACCTAAATTCACATACATTTTAAAAGTGTCAATGACCTTTTGTTTTGACTGTGTAGCAGCCACTGTATTGCTCTAAATTAAATCATAAAAATGTTTTATAACTTACCAGTCAGACTCCACCAGTACAAAGAGAACAAAACAATCATGTGAAACATTTTCTTCAGTTGTTCAGCATCTGATCTAAAAAACGACCTGCTGAAAACATTCAAGCTGGTGTGAATCCTCCCACGACAGAGTTTGACCCTCCTAGTTCACTCGTTGCATTTGCACAGTTACATATTACATTAAAAAAGTATCCAGTAACGCAATCCAAGAACCACAATATGAAAGTAATGTAATCTGATTACTTTTGGATTCCCAAAAGGGTCACATATGTAAATAAACTGTTGTGATTTTAAAAGTGTGTATATTTATTCAATTCTTAATTTTAGCGTTTGAAAAAAAATAAATAAATAAATAAATAAAATTGTGTCTGATCTCACAGTGCCAGTTTTACTGATGTTCATCATCTGAGTGAGACTGAAACCTGCTGCGGTCGGTTTTCTTTAGAAATGTGGTTTGATCTGGACGAACATTTTGGAGTGAGAGTGTGTATACAGATCAGGTGTGACTGGGTTAGTTTGTAGGTGAGGAGTTTCTTCCTGTCCAGCTTTTTTGAACTTTAACTGCAGAAAATTGCTACGAGCCTCTTTTCAAATCTCTCATGCAAATGTCCACAGATATGCAAGTGAACATGTGCAACAAATCCAAATCCAATAACAGCACTATTAACAAATCACATCGTTCATGTAAAGTGATATAAAACAACATTATACACAAAATACCACAAATGCGCCCTCTTAGACCATGCAGATAAAGGAATTCTTTTTTAGACTGTATATCGTTTCTCTGCATCCATGTTAGCTCAACCCATAATGTAATGCACAACTCAACGCAATGTCTCGCGCACAACTCAACCTGAACATGTGACCTGCTACACTTTAATAGTAAATCTTTCTTGAAGAAGCCCTAACTTTAAACATTTCAATGGAACACATTCTCTAGTTATTACCTTCTGAATATCACATTCATACATTTTAGTCAAACATTTTAAACAATGAATGAACTCAAATTGGTATGAATTTATAACAGAAACATATAAATACACATCTTTGTGAAAACGTCTTTGACAATTACTGCCACTGTGTTCAAGAAATCAACAGATATGTCTGTGATTAGCAACTTTGCTCAGTGGTGCAAAAATACATTGTCAATAGAAACCTTTGGTGTTCCACAGAGTGCAAACACAAAAATGCAATGGAGTGTTTGCCAAATCTGTTTCGCCAATATACTATTATTACAGCTTCAACTGGGGGTGTTCAGCACCCTCTAGCACTGGGCCTGAATAATTATCTATCCCCCCATCCTCCCTGCAAGTGTCCCCCACCATCCAATGTCTAATGCAATACATTTTTTTGTGATCATCAACGAGGCCTTAAAAACAAACAGAACAGCCTGCATTTCTAATCATTTATGCATATTTGAATGTTTATTTTGTTTATGCTCTGTTTATTTTATTTAGGTTTTGTGTATAATTCATTTATATTTTATTTATTTGTGTTTCATGTATATCTATTTACTTTAATTTTTCAAGCTCAGTTGCACTCTTATTTTTTTATCTGTTTAAGTATTTTTACATATGCACGTTGGATGTGTTACACATAATACACATTTACGCTAAATTATTGAAATTGTCATTTTATGTGCTTTCTCTTCGCTCATCAAGTTGCTATGACAGTTTTTACACTAGCGGGGCCCATTTTCATTATCTTATAGGGCCCAACAACCCTACGGGATCATGTCATCCAAGATGTCTTTCTTTCTTCAGGCAAAAACAAATTGGTTTTTGAAGAAAACATTTCAGGGTTTTTTCTCCATATATTGGACTTCAATGGAGACAAACGGATTGAAGGTCCAAATTGCCGTTTCAATGCAGTTTCAAAGGACTCCACACGATAAGGAATAAGGGTCTTATCTAGCAAAGCGATCGGTCATTTTCTAAAAAAAATTAATAAAATAAAAATGTCACATTTATATGCTTTTTAACCACAAATGCTTGACTTGCACTAGCTCTGCGCTGCGTTTTCATGACGTCACGCATTAGTCACGTTGGAAAGTACAAAACACTTTCACAGCACTTTCGTGTTGTGTATGTTTTTGAAGTGTTCCAGTGTTCAGACAGACAAGGAATCAGAATGAAACAGATTCTGGATTTTAACAAATAAAGATGCTGCTTTAATACTATTACTGTCATTCAATGTGTTTTCCTTTGAGGAATAGCTACTAAAATTCCAGATTAACAGATTAGTGTTTTTATGTCAATCCACAAATAAAAATGAATTTATATAAACTTTACAATTTTTATTATCATGAAAATACATTTAAACATGCATAAAACACATCAGTTTTCCTGCAAAGACTTATGTATCCACTTGTGTGCTGAGATTCTGTATTAGCAATTTTTATTCAAACCCCACCAGATAGCGCCACTCGATGGCATAAAGTACTGTAGTTGACAACTAATTATGTTAACTCAACTAATTTAATGTAGAAGAGCTAAATAACTAATGTAAACTAAGTAAATGTAATGATATTTATTTATATTGATTCGTGGGCATTTTTTAAACACTTATAATAATATAAAGCCTTTATTTATTTATTTTACTCCGCCAAAATTCACTTTAAATGTTCACTTTCATTCATGAAGAAGACAGGGGAAAATATTCTCTCCTGGGGCCTCATTTATAAAACGTGCGTACGCACAGATTTGATCGTAGAGTGTGCGTACACAAAAATCCACGGCAACGTTCATATTTTTAAAAATGGTCTTTGACGTGGAAAAGACCCAGCAAGCAATTTTGCGTTTAAAAGACGTCTATTAGCCGTCTAAAGCAGCCCAGACGTCTAGGCTAAAACAAGGCTGAATTTGGGCTGTCAGTGAAAATCTAATAGACGTCTAATCATAGCCCAAGAATAGACTAGTCATCAATTAGACCGCTATTAAACGACTACATACATACATCTAATAGACTACAAAATGGCAATCCATCCAAACAAATTAAATATACAGCTTTTATTAAGAAAAATAAAATTTTTAACAACTTGGAAAACTTAAGACAATACAAAATTATTAAAATACAAAAGAATTAATGACAAAATAAAATTGTATAAATACAATACACTTAAATATAAATATTATGATAAAGAAATCTGGAATTTTTAACAACTTAAGATAATAAAAATATAAAAATGAAAAAATAATAAATAAATAAATAAAATATTTTAAATAACTTGAGAAAAAAAAATCTAACACAAATCAAGAGCATGTTATCACACTTAACATTAAAACTTTACGGATAAATGACAACATAAAAAAAGATGAACCCTTTTGTTGGTTTACTTATTTTAACAAATAAAACAACCAACAGTGAACTTAAAGGAAATGATTAATTATTGGTTTTATTTCTTGTTTAAAATGCTTCCCAACTGCATTCCTCAAGTCCAACTCTGTTGCTGCCAGGAAGTTGGTCATCACAGCATCCTTGTTTGTGTCTGTGAAATCTTAATAGCTAATGTTTGAATTAATCTATATAAATAATGCCTACCAAATATAATAAAACGCCAAATTATAGACTATATGTATTAATTTAAGAAACATAGCAGTCATCAAAATAAAAAAGTAAACTACAGCATTAAGAGCTGTTTTGCTCAAAATCGTTCAAATTTTTAGACGAAACGGATTAGTATGTACTAACACTATCAAACAGCATTTACACAGCACTTTACAAACAGCGCTAATACAGATTAAAGAACGTGACGACAACACGTCTCTACGTCTTCGCGCTGCAGTGTGTAGGGAGCCTCCCAAGTTATATTTTCACTTTCATTCGTGACACAACGGTTTCTTAAGGCACCAGTACGCTGGATAACAACCGCCGTAAAACAATGATAATGGGTAATAAGAAGAAGACACAATGGCTTCGGGTTTACTGAAGAGGAACATTGCACTATTATCAAAATATGCATTCTTTTTTTTAGAAAACCTGGTGAAAATGAAGCTTCTCTTAGTTTCGCCCTTATTATTCTGGTGTTTTCTCGACCATGGTAAGACATCTATCTAGGCGTATCTCTCTCTTCCAGTGTTCTGACGATTTGTGCTATCCGAAATTTGCGGTTAAAACTGTGTTTTCAATAAAAACAGTACCAAACATGCGTAGGATGCTCGTGTGCACAACAGAAGATGTAGTCTATGTCAGGGTTGGTTTATCTGGCATAACGGGCTACAATGCCAATGACGAGCCCATCATGCAGGGCCAAACATTGGTCTTCTGTGTTGACGGTATTCTGTATTCTGTAAACCCAGTCACAGCGCGCCATAGACGGAGCGATGAAGTGCTCCGCCTGTATAGATATCGCTTCACTAACCAGCTGCAGCGCGAAAGCACGGCGCGGACATAGAATCTGCATTCATTTGGAAGAAATGGTGAATTGATTAAAAATAGTGATTAATTTCTTCCTCAGGTGCATCTTGTGTTGATATTGACGGAGTGTCAGTGATGGAGGGAGATTCAGTCACTCTACACACCGATGTTAAGACAAAGCAACAAGAGAGAATCAGATGGTATTTTAATGACATTCGCATCGCTCTAATCAGTGGAGATCTCAGTAAGATCTGTACAGATGTTCAGTGTAATAAAGGTACTGAGAGATTCAGAGACAGACTGCAGCTGGATCATCAGACTGGATCTCTGACCATCATGAACATCAACACCACACACTCTGGAGTTTATAAACTACTGATAAGCAGCAGCAACATCGACAGTGAAAAGAGCTTTAGTGTTACTGTTCATGGTGAGTCATGTTTAAAAATTACTCTTGTATGTGTAATTCACGTCATTAATATGTTTTTAGTTATCATTTTGCAGTGACATTTAGATGTGATTTTATTTTTAATTTACATACAGTATATAGATGATTTCATACTGTTAAAGTAGAATTTACAGACTTAAATTTGAATTTAGTTCAGTATGATTTACAACGTTTTGTTTTGTATTTGTTATTCATTTTTCAGTTACCTTCTACTGATCATCTCTTTAAATCCATCTCTTATTTCACAGTCAGTATGTTTTCCCCACTCCCACCAGGAATCCAAAGTGCAAAGTATTTCATTTCAAATCTGTTTAATAGCACAAAATGTTAATAAATGTTGCTTTCCAGACAAAGTCAAGAGGGCATGTTTTATTACTTACATATACTCAGTTCTTTAATCTATGTGCTGTTTCCCCCAAAAGATCCTCCAGCAGCTCTTGGCTTGTGTTTCAGATGTTCCTGCTGCTGAACAAGATAAAATGAAGAGAAAGTCAGTGAAGGAGGGAGAATCTGTCACTTTAGATCCTGCTGTAGTAAAAAACCCAAATGATTTAAAGGTGTGGTATTTTACTGATATCCTCATCGCTGAAATCACTGGAGATCAGAGTAAGATCTGTACAGATGATCAGTGTGATGAGAGATTCAGAGACAGACTGAAGCTGAATAAAACTGGATCTCTGACCATCACAAACATCAGAACCACAGACTCTGGACTCTATAAACTACAGATCAACAGCAGCAGATTCAGCATCATAAAGACATACAGTGTTAGTGTCACTGGTGAGTATCATTGTAGTCATTCAGTGCTTTTTCACTTGAACAGTTTTAGAAAACTGATTAATTTAAATCGACCCAGTAAATGTTTTTGTTGTGGCCTGTTTGAAGAAGTGAGCTTTGACTCAATATTAAATTATAACTTAGATCAAATCTATCATCTTCACATGCACATCAAACTGAAAGACAATTGTCACAGTTTTTGTCACCTTATGAATTTTAAACTTTTGAATTATGAATTTTAAATTATGAATTTTAAAATTTTAAAAGTCTATTGTTAATAGAAAAAAAATCATAATATTAGTCAGTTTTTCTGTGAACTGCGGTTACTTGTTGCTGTTTTAGCTGCTGTTCCTTACAAACCCACCAGATGGCACCTTTATCAAATAAATCAATGTCATACAACTTTCTACTAAATATTGGTCAAAAGTATTGATAAAGTTGTTTATCAGTCCATTTCTAGTAATAATGACTGTCTGTCTTTAGCTGTTCCAGATTCAACTGCTGCTGCTGTTGCTGCTGCTGTTGTTGTTGCTGTTCTGCTGGTTGCAGCTGCTGGTGTGATTTACTGTCACAGCAGGAGATCTATACAAGCAAGAAAAAATGGCAAGTATTGCATACAGCTGATTTGACAAGCTGTTAATGAGATTTATTGTTGGAAAAAAAAAAACACAAACTTTAAAATATGGTAAAGTATGTATTTTTATTCTAATTGACCAAAGTAAAAGAAAATTGTTATTGTTCATACAGGAAAAAGGACGCAGCACAATGATCCTGACCTGGTGAGATACTTTCTACAAGATCTGTCTGTCTGTAAAAACCTATGAATGTACAGAACTGAGAACTGTTAGGGCCCCAATATACTAAAAGTGAACTGGTGTGATGTCATTTTAAACCAAAATAGGCCAAAACAAAGTTTTTTTTTTTTTTTGGAGTTTGTTTTGGGAATTTGAAACGGCTTGCTTTGAGCTACCATTGGTCTGTGGTGATTATGCAATAGGTAGGTGTGGCTCTGGGGCTCCTCCTTCTTTGACATGGAAATCTTCTCCAGTTGATTTATTCTGTTCAGTCCGTCGAAATCAGACATCTGTGAGCAAAAACCTGAATACTCTGGAGAGCTGCTTTATAGAAACTGAAGATGTTATTCTAACTGAGAAGTGACACTGACACTGTTTTGTATAAAGTGCTATATAAATAAATGTGACATGACTAGAGTACCGAATTGCAGCTTGTGCAAACATAACCACATAGCTATGATAAGATGCTTTCTTAACTGCTTTTTTTAAGACAGCAAACAATATATCGCTGGTCACGTATTTCATTTATTTTTACCTCTAAAGTGAGTAAGGAAAGAAACTTCACCATGAGTATATTGGGGCTTTAGGTGGTACAGTATGTATCTGTTTGAGATTTCTGTGAGATGTTTTCTTTGAGATCTTTACATTCAGCAAGCATCGGAGAGAAAAAAAAATATAGTGTTTGTGTAACTGAATCATCAGGGTTTTTTCACAATCATTTGTATTACCTTCTGTGAATCTGATTTTCTTTCAGGAGAATGTTGAAGAAGTATTATCCCTTATTAAAGGGACATCCGCTGATCCGTCTGTGAGCACGCAGGGCAATGACGCTAAAGAGACATCCGATGATCTGGTTGTGAGCACGCAGTGGGATGACGCTAAAGAGACATGCGATGATCCGGCCGGAACCACGCAGGGGGATGACGGTAAAGAGACATCCCATGATCCGTCTGGAAACATGCAGGGGGATGACGGTAAAGTGACATCCCATGATCCGTCTGGAAACACGCAGGGGGATGGCGGTAAAGAGACATCCCATGATCCGGCTGCGAACACGCAGGGGGATGGCGGTAAAGAGACATCCCATGATCCGTCCGGGAACACGCAGGGGGATGATGGTAAAGAGACATTCCATGGTCCGGCTGGGAACACGCAGGGGGATGGCAGTAAAGAGACATCCCATGATCCGTCCGATAACACGCAGGGGGATGACGGTAAAGAGACATCCCATGATCCGTCCGGGAACACGCAGGGGGATGATGGTAAAGAGACATTCCATGGTCCGGCTGGGAACACGCAGGGGGATGGCAGTAAAGAGACATCCCATGATCCGTCCGATAACACGCAGGGGGATGACGGTAAAGAGACATCCCATGATCCGTCCGGGAACACGCAGGGGGAATTACATTATTTGCAGTAAAACTAAAGCCGGTTAAAGAGACATCCCATGATCTGGCTGTAAGCACGCTGGGGGATGACAGTAAAGAGACATCCCATGATCCGGCTGGGAATACGCAGGGGGATGACGGTAAAGAGACATCCCATGATCTGGCTGTGAGCTAAGACACAGAATTACATTATTTGCAGTAAAACTAAAGCCGGTTTCACACCGCACGCGTAAGCAGCGCATATTTTTTACGCCCCCTGGACTTGTGTTCTGCAGTGAGGACCATCTCGAATGTTTTGCCAATCATTATTACATATTCAGGTCTTTAGTGACCTGGACCTATATATCCAACACGGATGGATCTCTAACTTCTGCAATAGCATAAAACTCTCCTGATATTTAAATAACTATTAGAAAATAAAAAAATAAAACATATTTCGATACCTTTTGAAACTTGTAAGGGTTCAGTTTGAGCAGGTGATTTTACCATCACTGTCATCATCAGAGCGCATTTCCCCAGTATTCAGCATCTGGCTCATATTCACGATTTCAACCATATTCTCAAAATTGTTTTCAATGTCTTCAAAATCAATATTTTGATCATTTGCAGCTTATTCGCCACATCCACTATCAAATGCTAGTGACACTAATATTTGATTGTGTACAGTAATTGCTCTTCAGTAAAGCCATTTAAGCTATTTCAGGTTTTGCTGATGATATTCTTTTGTTTTATGCTTGTGGTAATTATCTGTGAAACATCATGTCATCGTTGTGTATCAAACATTTTCACAGGAAAAATATACTTACCCTATTACACTATTGCTAGTGACCCTATATACCTTTTTTTTTTGTTGTTGTTGGCAAAAAGTTAATTAGAAAACAGACATTCTTTTACAATTGTATTTTTTTTTCTCTGTCCAGCGACCTTCTGGTTACAAGTCTTACTCTCTAACCATTAGGTCACGACCATAGACATGAAATACTTAGATGCCTCATTGGCCGCTTTGGACCGTTGCTGCGATACGTCAACGAGTCCGCCATATTGGCCCGGGCAAGACTGCTCAGTAAACAAATACAAGTAAACGGGGAGCTGCGGCTTTTCTGGGAAAAAAGGGAAGTTTACATTTATCAACCGATTTCAATGGTTTATGATCTGTGTGGAGTACGAAAAAGTTTCTGTTTCTAATTACTCAAAGTCTCGTTAGTTAAAACTTGTAAAGCATTCATTGTCATAAGGAATTGTGAAGAATCACGCTTGTCAAGCACAGATATGGTTTATTTTTCTTGGTTAATAATTGTGGAGACGTCCTTAGTGTAATATAATTTAATGTACATGAAATGTGCACAACGTTTTACGTTGTGGAAATGGCTTTTTCTTTCTTCAACACCTTTTTAAATCACGTCATAGGATGTCACAGGACAATTTCAGATGAATGTGAAGATAATTTGCTGAAGCATTTATCTTTACCTTTTGATTTTTACAATTTATTTCTATATGTGTTGCCTCCTAACCTTATGCTTATAATGTTTGTATAATATTTGTTTTATTATTCATACCACAACAATAAATGTATTTTTATAGAAATGTTTTATTTTAGTAAAAAATACATAATAGATTACTTAAAAAAAAAAAAAATTAATTAAATTACAAAACTATAAATAATTGTGTCTATTGAAATTGTGTTTTACTGAGGTGTAAAAAACATTTACTGATGCTGATGCTGACAACATCTGATGCTGGAATGGGTGTACTTTTAGTGCTTTTTGTGTCGAATAGCCTACAGTGTAATGGGACTTTAGTATGTAATGGGATTAGTATAAGTAACTGAAATAAGCGCAAATGTCAGGGTGTGTAAAAACCTCCATGCAGGGCACAAAAAAAGTCATAACAAATTGTAGGGGAAGTTCAGAAATTCGATAAATACATGTGAGTATCCTTAGCAAACTGTTGTAAAATACGCGCCATTTCACAGCCCCTGTCTGTGCGCATTCTTCAGTGGGCTCAGAAACGCACACATGCAACTTTAATAAGGATTAATCTATTTTTTATTTATAAAATGTAAACTGTGCAATGTTATTTTACATTTGATTAAGTTGGATTTCAATTTCTGAACCTGAATTTTGTTCAGTTGTATTTATTTGAGCTATTTCTTATTTTATTACTGACTGTTGACTTGCCTTTAAGAATGTTTTAAATCTACATATTAGTTAGTCCAGTTGTTTTTGCTATGGCATTTTTGTTAAAACCATAGGAAAAAATGATTTGTGTAAGGTTTCTTTAGGCTGATTTTTGTGGTATTCAGCTGCAACAGAATGTTTTGCAAAAAAATAAAAAAATAAATAAGTAGGCTTATAGTCTGGAGCCATGTTTATAAAAAAGATGTGAGATCAAGAACAGTTCCTCTTTTAAAAATGTGCTTCTCTTTCTATAGCTGGAAATAACTCCTGAAACTATAGCACTGCTTATCTGCAGGGTCACAGTATATTAATTAGTTGATATGTATATATAGAAATACATATGCCCTTGAATTCTAATATTTCTCAGACACACAGTAAGATCTCTCAGTAATATTGCTATTTAGTTTGAGTGAATCTTTTATCTGTCAGATTTAGTATTTTATAGTAAAACTGTTTTGTATAAAGCAGAAGTCAAATGGTTTCATATGAACAAGCAGGGCCGTTTCTAGGCATAGGCGAGCTAGGCGGTCGCCTAGGGCGCCACCAGCTGAAGGGGCGCCAATGAGCGCACGTACTGGCACTTTTAGCAGGGTTGTGATACTTTCACACACACTATTCATACCTCAGACACACACTCACAGACATCACACACAATCTTCCAGCAGTAGACACATTCTCGTGCACAAGCTGCTTGCCCACCCAACAGATCAAACCACAATTCTGTACAGATGTACATAAATGAGACAAAGGCAAATTATTTTTAGGAGATCATTTCAATAATCAGTCTTTAGTTATCACAAGTGGTGATTCTCACCAATCCCTAAACTCATCCCAACACTCAAGAGTCTGAGGTTGTTGCAGGAGGAAAGCAGATCTGATACTAGAAACACACTGAAGACTGAAGATCATCATCTCGTGGCAACGGGTGCATACTCCACATGATCTTCCTCTTTAACATGCTGAAAAGAAAATCACACAAGAGATGATAATACTAAACAAACAAAGAAAAGTGTGACTCTCTTAGAAAGGCAGATTCTGTGACTCTGGCTTCACTGATTCACATGAATATACAGTATAATGTATTGAAGTAATACCAGATTGGACACAGAATCTGATCTGATTTGTTGGTTTACCGGTTCTTTTCTGCTAAAACGTAAGCAAACACAAGGTTCAGTCCACTTAAATTTGTAAAACAGAACTTAATCATTTTGTATTGGGATTAAAAAAATCTGTACTTCCCAGCATACGTTTCGTAGCACACCATTAGGAGAGTAAATGTTGAAATTAACTGTAAGTAAATGTGTTTTTTCAGCAAAGTGTCATATTCACGTACTGAAAGTTAAAAACTGTAGTGTTGATAGAAGGTTTGATGACCCTGACTTTTTTTTTTTTAGAGTTTCTTAGTTGACAGAGACTAGACAGAGTAACATAAATTGGGAATAATTTGTTTTACCAATTTCTGTGTGTTTCTTTTGTGGATTGTCAGATCAGTGTAAGTGACCTCTTCTGTACGAGTCTGAACTGTTTTGACAACAACAATAATAGATGCATTAAAACAACAAAACACAGATCACAAATTACAGACTTTGCACTTTCAGCAAAGTTGTAAAGCTGAAAGTGCGATAAATAAAGTTACTCTCCCAAAATAAAGACTCAACTCTGAACAGCTTAAACGAGTCGTTAGTCATTCGAATCCCACCTCCGTGACGGCTACACGTCACGGGGTAACACATTTACATGCCTATGTTCTACGTTGGCTGGCCGCAAACAACTTGACCCCGCCCACAAACACGTCATTCAACTGAGGACTGCTTCTCTAATCTCGGGGAGTTCAACGTGGGATTCACAAAACGCTTGCTGGTGAAAGATGGATCTGTATCCTGTTTATTTGGACCAGCTGCTCCACTGAATCACAACCTGCAAGTATGATAAATAATAGATGTTTATATTTTCTGTAGAGCGTTCAAAATACAGAACTATTGAAATAGGCGTATCGTTTCCTACACGCGCTGTACGCCGTAGACCAATCACAACAGACTAGGCCATCTGACCAATCAGAGCAGAGCAGGCTCACTGAAAGGAGGGGTTTAAACTGTTAAATAAGTATCGCTTTTTATTCCTCCTCTTTCCTACTACTTGTTTCACTTCTGTTTCAGGTTTTTATAACCATTTCTTACTATGTGTCAGTAAGTTGTTGTTATTTTAGATTTCATTTGAGTTATTTCAGTACTTCAACACAAAATGGATGAAATAATATATATTTATTGAATGTATTTATATATATGTACATGTATATGTGTGTGGCTGTACATACACATATGAAGTTGCTTTTTGGTGTTTGGCTTAGTGTTATGTTAGAATCATTATTATACTCATACCTTTTGTTCTTTTAATATTTTGAATTGTTTTTAGCTTTTTTTTGTTGTTGTTTTCATTTAAAAGTTTAGTTTTGAAATGTTGTATGCATTTGTCATTTTTATTTAATTTATTTTATTTTATTAAATGTGTATACATATATAGTATTTATAGAGTTTTAGCTTTTAGTTTTAATTACTTTTTCTTATTTGTAAGTCACTTTGGATAAAAGCGTCTGCTAAATGACTAAAAGTAAAGTAAAGTAAAGTTTAGAGAGACTGAATCTTTGAACTGCTTTGAACGAATCGTTTGAGAATCGCTGGAAAATGAGGTTAAATGCATATTTTGGGGAAACGAAAGCGTTTTTTGACCTTGCATGCATGTAATCCTATTGTAGGAGACTCCCAAAACAATATTAGGAACCGTAAAAATGGCATAATAGGGGCACTTTAAGTTATCTGATGTAGAGCAAAATCAATGTGTAAGGTTACAGTTTAATT